TTGGAGCTGGTGCACTAGATTTCGGTAGTACTTCTTCCCCCAGCGGCGTACCCCAGTAAACTTACTGAGGATGGCCTTCATGGGAACTTAGGAAACCTTGCCGTGCAAGGCAAGCTTTTGCATTTGTCCAGAAAGCCCAGGAAAGCGGCTGCTGGGGTGGTGCTGAGGGTGGTGCTTGGGGCTGGCCCTGCTTCTGGTGGCTGGGGAGGGCCTGGTGGGGTTCATGCTGGAGCCATTAGTGGAGTTTTTGATTATGCTCTGACAAGTTCAGCGCTGAGTTGTTTGGTTGCTCTCTACAGTGGCAGTACACATGGTCGGCACATGTGGCCTTGACTGGAGTTTTTCTACTTTAGAGGTGTTGATAAAACAGTTTTGAAAATGTAATTCACAAGCCTGTAACATTCCTCAGCCCTACAGGATGTAAACCCTCCTCCTTGTCAAAGGCAATGCCTTGGCAGAGAACCTCACTCCCACCAAGATGCTCCTACTTCCCCAAGCCAGACTTCCTCTGCCCAATCCTGACCCTGGCTTCAACCTGGGCAGTTTGCTGGGACCCTGCCCAGCACAGTGGAGCTCCGTGGTCAAGACAGTGAAACCCAGCTGTTACGGAGTTCTTCCTACTGGAATGAGCCAGGCTACCAGCACAGTCCCATGTTCAAACCTTAGGAGTCCATATACAAATGGTGAATGGACAGAGTCAGAGTCATCCAGTCCTGGAGCTTCTTGTGCACATGGAACCTGACAATCATCGTTGTCCAAATCTTCCCTGATGAACCTCATCTTCATCGGTACAATACCCCTCCCATCCCCCCTCCCCTCCCCAAATTCTCTAGGCTTCTGATGTTGCTATTTTTAAAGCATATCTCCTACTATGGTCACAGTGACCTGTCTAAAATGCAAATGTGACTATGTCTTCCCTTTTCAAAGTCCTTCCCTGGCTCCTTAAACCATTGGGATTAAGTTTAGGTTTCTGAATATAGAGTAAATAGGGCGGCATGCATTGGCCACAACAATCATGATTGAGAATGAAGACGGTCAAGTGTGCAGGTGTGGAAAGGGACCATCCCAAGCTATGCTGGGCACAAGTCACCCAGGGCATAAGTAGATAGGTGCGTTTCAACCCAGTCCCAGCAAGGCCCCACTCCCAGCCTCATTGCCTAGTCAACGACTATTTGGAACTTTCACGGTCCCAAAGGCACACATTGCAGGCTTGGTCCCTAGTCCATGGTGCAACTAGGAAATGGTGGGAATTTGAGGAAGTGGAGTCTAATGGAAGGAAGTTATGTCACTGAGGTTGTGCCCATGGAAAAGATGTTAGGACTCGGTGCTACCACCACCACCCCCTTTCTCTTTCCTTTTCCTTTTCCACCCATCTCTCCATCTTGGCCACCATGAAATAGGAAGCTCCACTGTACCACATGCTCCCTGCCACGATGTTTTGCCTCATGAGAGGCCAAAACCAGCAGCATGGACTAAGGTCCTCACACTATGAACTGAAAAGAAACCTCCTCCTCCTTCTCCTCTCCCTCCTCCTCCTCCTCCTAAGTAACTTGGCACCTCAGGGCTTTTGCCACTGCCATGAAAAGCCAACACAGTGGCCTCTCTTTGTTGTGTCGCTGCCTTGAACACCATTTTCCTCTCCATCCACTCTCCGCTCACCCTGGCCAGCTCTGACTACACTTGTTCCTCTCTACTTTCACTCAGCTTGCTGTAGGAAGCTATGCCCGGGCTCTTCAGAGGAAGCTTGGTGCTCCCCTTTGAGGTTTACCTCTCCACTGTGTTTGTTGGTCTGATAGTCCCTTATCCTCCTAGAGAGCGCTAGACACTTCCAAGACTGGGATCCACCCTGGCATCGGTTGACTCAAAACATACAAGTGAATTAGTGAATGCTGAATGAATGCCATTGGGACATGGAGAGGGAGGGCATGAGAGGAGTTTGGAAGAGACTGAGTGACATCAGTAAGTCTAGGGGTTTGGGGTACAGTCATGGCATGAGAACTTTGCCTAGCCAGGGCACTGGTGGCTAGACACAGTCCAGCACTAAGGAGGCAGGCTCACTTTGTCCCAAAGCTCTGAGATGAGATGAGAAAAATCACCATTTGCATTGATTGACCAGAGAAACATAACTATGGGACAAGGAACGTGAGTGTGATTGTTTTTCTTATGACCTGGATACTTGGATCCACAAATGTGTTCAGTTTGAGGAATTCTCTGTATATGTATTATAATAAGCTAAAAATAAAGCAGGCAGACCCTCTTCCCAGACTGGATAACAGGGTCTCCCAGGACGTTGAATATAGAAAGCCTCCCTGTCTGTCCTCCCCAGCTACAGCTGGAATCTGGAAAGCCGCCACAGAGTAAATGTGTCTGCAAACCTTCAGACTTCTGCCAATACCCCAAGATGCTGAGTAAATACCAATGAACTAGCTTATTTACCGCAAGTAATAGGTGCAAGTCTCATTCTTCTGAGAGACGCTTTCATTTTTGTTAATTGTGCATGGGTTTGCAGTGAACATTTCAAGTTGTGTATTTGGGCTCGCCACTATTTCGGAGATGGCTACAAACGCTCTACAGTGTGCCCTGTGTGCACTCATTAGCATGCAGTTTGAAACCCGCCTTGCATATTCATGGTCCTGCCTCCCTCTTCATCTCAGCACCCTTGACTCCCCCCTACAACTCCCGCTCCCGCTCCAGCTCCTCATTTCCAATTTTGTACCCCCCCCCCACTTGCCTGGAGATGTCTGGGCTGTTGCTGGGCCCATCCCCACGGTTTTAATATGACACGGATTGCTGACATCCAGTGGCTGCTTGGCATCATTACAGATGTCTGTGCAGTCGGCTCCTTCTGGCCCCTGGGTGCCTGTTTGCAAGGAGCCCTGTCCTGGACTGCTGACGAGGCTCCAGACCTGACAGGAGGGTGGAGCGTCAAGGCTGTGGCTTTGGTGACAGCTGAGCTCTGCCATACCTTGGGGTTTTCCATGCTGTCAGACTCTGAGGACTAAGTCGAAGGCCTGGTGACCCCAGTCAGGGGGTGACAGTGGACATAGGGCACAGCACACTTCCTGGCCTAACCTCCTGAGGCCGTCTCCCTCTACCCCTCCCTCCTCCTCCCTGTCCTCCGCCTTGCCTGCCTCTCTGCCACCTTGAAGACCTAATGGCTAATCATTTCCTCTCAGACCGCTTGCACTGTGAAGGAGGAGCCATTGTAAAAGCACCCGGCTAGCCATTTTATTATTTTTCCAGCGCAAACAGGTTTTGCCTTGGCCGGCCTTGGTGCCACGGTAGGATATGACTTGTGACAGGTCTGAAACACATTCAGAACAGTAAACACAGGGCCAGCCACAGCCCCCTAATTTAAACCGGGGGGCCCCGGCCGCGCAGGCCGTGTTTACCACGCTTGGGAGCACACGTGGCCTCACTTCAGAGGAAGGCATTCCTTTGAATCCGAGACCGGGACAGAGAGAGACTATAAGAAGGAAAAAAGTTTGGTTTCAATATGTGAAATTGGTGCCCCTGGGGGAAACTTTAATTCTTGTCAAATGTTTAGGGAGAATGCAAACGGGAAAGTTTCCACGGCTGCAGATGTATCCCTTGGCGCTCCGACTTCAGTCTCTGCGCAGAGGCTCCTGCCCTCAGCCAGGCTGCTTCTGAAGGGCCAGAGTGCGGGGATGGCCTAGAAGGAGGAAACAACCAATGCCTGACAAGATGACAGGCTGGCCATCCAGCCACAGACAGTAAGATGCCTTGTCTGTTAGCCGGGCGTGGTGACTCATGCCTGTAATCCCAATACTGAGAGGCTGAGTCAGGGAGACTGAGTTCTGGGCCATCCTGGGCTACAAGAGGAGATTCTGTCTCAACAAACCAATGACAATAACCATCATAACTATTGAAAGCCATATTCTGTTTGTTTGTTTCAAGACAGGGTTTCTCTGTGTATCTATCCCTGGCCATCCTGGAACTTGCTCTGTAGACCAGGCTGGCCACAAACTCACAGAAATCCACCTGCCTCTGCCTTCTGACTACTGGGATTAGAGGCATATGTCATCACCATCCGGCTGAAAGCCATATTCTTACCCTAGTATCTTGGAAAACCAGTGTCTCCCAAACCATTAGAACTTTCGGTCCAGTCTAGACTATAGAGTGAGAGCCTGTCTCAAAAGAAAGAGAAAGAGGGGGGTTGGGGAAAAAAGGAGGAAAGGAAAGGGAGACAAAGTACTTTATGCAGCCTGAGTGAGGACCAGCAGCAGGTGGTCCTGGGGCAGGGGTGGGACAGGGATCAGGGGTAGGCTCAGAGCTTGGGACAGGGATCAGGGGTGGGCTCAGAGCTCTTCCCAAGCTGTAGGGAGCAGGCAAGGACGACCATGAGCAAATTCCTCTCATCAAGTAACTTTAACCTTCCTTCTCCTGCTACTGGAGCTCTGGGGGCCGTGGGCCTCTGTGGGCAGAGGCAGGCCAGGCCAGGCCGGGACACCTTGACCCTCCAGACGCAGGAAGAGTACAGTGCTCTGCATTGATCTCCCGCTGCATAAGGAGCCTCTGCAATGGACGTCAAAAACACATTTCCAGTGCCCTTGGGAGAGACGTCAGGAAGTCTAATTATAACCGGCAGCTTCTGCCTTTCTGGGCAGAGCTGATGTTTTGAAGAGGAAGAGGAACTCCGCGGGTAGGACTGGCAACTGCGGCCACGGATGGAAGCACTACAAACGTCTTCCCCACCGAGCACAAATGACCCTGCAGCTAGGTAAACACTCCGTGGGTAAACCAAGGCTAAAGAGCCCCAGAGTCGGAGTGGCGCTGGAGTCTGAAAGGGACACGCTTTCCCAGATGCAAACAAACCCTCAACCCGGAGAGCACCCAGAAAAGCTTCTGGGACCTCACTCTGGTCCCCAGCAGCAGGTGACCTAGGGGGAACCGCTCTTCCTTGCCATCTTCTCCACCCACGGCCCTGGCTGGGCAGTCCTTCCAGTGACCTGACAGGAAGTACTGTTGTGTACTTCCTGTCTTCCTGGCAGGAAGTAAGTCATGGTACAGCTTCTGACTGGCTGGCTGCTGGCCTCCGAATTCCACGTGGCTGCCTCAGTCCCTTACACAGTAGGTGCTTAGTAACTCTGTTAACCAAGCTTCGGCCCACTGCTGGGAAGGAGAGGGATGGAGAAAGGCAAGAGGAAAGAAGAAGAGGGTGTTGGGAACACGGCTCAGTTCTTCAAGGGCTTGCCACACCAGCACACGGACCCGAACCGGATCCCCACAGTCCACCAACAAAAGGCCAATGTGCTGGTCCACGCTTATAATTCCAGCACTGGGTAGGTAGGGATAACGGGACTCTTTGGGCTTAGCCATCCTAAGTGAGGTTCTGGGCGGTAGAGACCTGAGGAATGACAACCAAAATTGTCCTCAAGAAATACATGTGTCACACAAACATACACACAGGGGAGAGGGAGAGAGAGAGAGAGAGAAGAGGTGGTGGGTTCTATAGGCCTAACATGCCTAAATCGGATTAACATAATTTAAAATTAAATAAATGAATAGCTTTGAAGGCAAAAATTCCTTCAAGCCATTCTTCACCTTCTCTCTCTCCCTCCCTCCCTCCCTTTCTATTTAAAAAGTGAGAAGTAACATGATGTTTCAATACACGAGTAATGATTGAACCAGAGTAAACATCTACCCAAACATTTACACTGTCATTGTAGTCCAGCTGCTTCGAGCTCTTCGCTGTTGCTATTCTGAAATACACACATTACTGCATCACATCCGGAGAAGCACACACTACAGCTTTTCGCCTGGCTAGCTGCACCTTGGTACCGTTGACTAACCTCTCTCCTCCACCCCTCTCCTTGGCTCTCTTCTCCCCCTGACTTTTTGAGGCCATTTTCAACTCCAGCTAACCTCAGGCCTGAGTACAGGAGGCACCCCCATCCTGTTGGGGGTGGGTGTGCGCATGTTTGCTAGTGTTGAACTATAGATTTGAGGGGGAGGGGTCATGGGTGCAGATCTCAGAAGCATCGTGTTGAACGTGGAGCAGGCTGGGGTGTGGCAGAACCGGAGCACTTACCCGGCACACACAAGACCTTGGATTTGACCGCAAGGCAAAGAAAAGTGGAAAGCCACCATTAAAAGTGGAGGGCTTTTCTCTGAGAATAGACTAAAGGGGCCTGGGGAAGTGAGTTCAGATAAACTCTTTGATGGTTACCAAAGCGAGTCTTTGGGTCTTTGAACTAAGGGAGTTCCAGAGGTTAATCAGGGCAATGCCACAGAAAAAGTTCAGAAGGCTTCTTTTCTGTTTAAAAAACCATTGCCTGAGGTGCTGTGGTGGTTTCCTGCAGACACCAGAGTCAGCTCCATTTTTGACCTGGTCTCCAGGTGGGTGGAGATAGCCACAGTGGACATGGTATGTGCTATTCAGCAAAGCATGTGGCAAAACATCTAACCACATCTTCATCGAAAGTACTTCAGTTATGATGAGATTCCTGATAGAAGCAACCTAAGGAGCTGTTTATCTTGGGGACAATTGAAGCAGTTATCTAGTTCGCTGTGGTGTGTGGGCCAGAGACAGCGGCTCACATCGGGTCCCTCCATGCTCAAGCAGCCCAGCGCACACAGGAAGTGGAGCAGGGCTAGAAAACCTTATAGGTTGTCCCCAGTGGCCCATTTCCTCCAGCTAAGCCTGCATAAAATGTTCCAAAATGTCACTCCTAGCTGAGGACCAACTGTCCAGCCATTGGAGCCTATGGGAGAGGGCTTACCTTCAAACCACAGCTGAAGCAGGGGGGAGTGTGGATTGGGTTGGAAGCTGGCGAACCTTCAAGGGTGAGAAGTGATTTGTAGTCTCATAATGGGAGTGATGTGTGAAGTTCAACTTTTTTATCAATGGCTATTTTCAAAGACCGGAATTACAAACCATGCTTTGAGGAGAAAGAAGCCAAGAGAGAGCCAGTTCTCTAGAATGTAGGTTAAGATTCAAACTTTCAAAACACTGCTGCCAATGTTATAGACTGGCTACAGCCCACAGAATGAGCCTTAGTGGGGAAGAAATGTATTCATGTGTCTCATATTCCCAAGGTAAGCCATAAATGAAGGAATGTGGTGGCGAATGTCGGGCTGGTATACGATGACTTGGAAATGGTCTTCAGATTAGCAATACCTAGGATGCACACAGAGCAGGAGCACTGAATGGAGAACATTCTGAAAAAATGTGAGAAACGGCTGAGGAAAACCAGACCTATCAAGAGTGTGAACTAAAGTTCTCCGAAAAGAGGCTGTGTGTGAACTGAACCTTCTAGAAAGTCTGGCTTATTGGCTGATTAGAACCACAATGATTGTGGAGAGGCTGGGCTGTTGCTGGCCCAGAGCTAATTATGGTTTGTCTTGGGCTGGATAGTCCTGGCCGACCTGTGTCTGACCTAAGGACCTTGTGCTATTACAGGAAACGTTTGGGAATGTATTGTGTTAAGAGACCCACCAGAGGGCACCAGAGAGCACCTGAGAGCATCAGATGCCTATAGCAAAGCATTTCCTCATTTCGCTGTAACCATCTACCTGATGTGTCCATTAATGCATTTGAAAGTGTGTTGATTTATGATTCTTTTTGTGTTACTATAAAAACCTCATGGAACTGTTACCTCATTGGAACATGGTATTTGGAGCAACCTAAATCTGTGTCCCAGGGCTATGGTCACTCATATTTGACCCTAGAATAAACTGCTACTTTTTTTCACTTTGAGGTAAGCGCTGTGCCTTTGTGTCGACAAGAGAACAAGAAAGCTCTTGCAGGAGGGAAGACTCAGAAGCCAGGAAAGCAGTCTGTCCAGTAAGTGACCAGTGACCTCTGTCTAACCGCTCCTCAGGCTGCCTTAGGGAGTGGGAAGAGCAGAGGCGTGCAGAAGCATCCAACAGTGTGTCATCAAGAGCACTTAGAACCCAGACAAGCTTCGTACGAATGCACAGCACACAAGACGACCCGGGTGGGTGGCCACAACAGTCTGAACATGGATGTGGGGAAGGTGCCACTCTGGACAAGAATAATGAAATAGTGGGTTTGAGATACTGGACAGCAAATGAAGGAATTCCCTTCGCCCTCTTGCCAAGAATTCTCTGGGGGACTGACATCCTAAATGACTTCCATGTTCCTTCTTAGCATTTTGACCCCAGGTCAATTCTTTCTTACTCTGTTTCTATTGCTCAATCTTGTATGACTTTTTTTTTTTTAAATCCTTTTCTCTCACTAGATCTCAGATCACTTCACTGCAATGCTTTTAAAATCTCTTTCTCTTCCTAGGCCTTGGGTCACTTTTTAAAAACTCCCTTTTTTCTCCCTTGGTCTTGGCCAGGACATAGATCATTAGACCGCTGAGTTTTCTCTGTGAATCACTCATAGAACAAGTGTTTGCTTAGCCATGTCGTAAAATATCTCTCCACTTACAGCCACAAAGGAATCTGTTGTAAACACAGAGATCCTGACCTTCTTTCTTGTCTGAAGTCCCAGGAACGGCCAGTCGGAGAAAGACCTGGGGAAAGGAGAAAGGAAATGGGGTGTTCCCATACTCTCCAGCACAGGGCTCCTCTGGGTAGGTCTCATTCCATCCGTCTGGCTGGCCTCGTGAAACGTTCTATTTTGTACCTTCTGGGGCTGCTGAAGAAGGCAGAGTGGAGATTTATAACAACCACTGTTCATTCCAGCCCAAGCAGCTTGGCACCGTCCGGGGCTGTGTTCCTCAGCGCAGCTTTCCACATTCCTGCCTGAGCTGAAACGCATGACAATTCCAGTTTGGAAACAAGCAGATGTTTTTGTCAGGGAAGAAATAGATGGCCCAGAGGAGATGGGAAGACAAGCTCCAGGGCTGGAGAGACGGCCGTACAGAGAGCTCTCATCACGCCGCGCCGACCAGCCTCTCGCCACCATTAGCCTGCTTGTCTGGAAGCCAGACTCTACTTAGCGTTTTTTTTTTTTCCTTTCCAAGGATTCCTCTCTGGCTGCAAGGAGGCTAAAGTTTGGGAACGAAGAAGTAGCCTGCCGACTCCGGCTGGAAACTCTGGCATGGAAGGGTGGGTGCTCATGGCTGGGGAAGCTGTTCCTTGTGGCAGAGCTGCCCTAGGGGAAGCAGGTTGAATGGGCCACGGGATGTGGTAGACACAATGCTGGGCTCACCTGTGATGCTGAGTCCTTTCCTGGAGACGGAGGAGGCCATGCCTTTGTAGTCCCCCCCCCCCTCAATGACCCCTGCTCTGCTCTCCTCACCGACACCTAATATACTGAACCAACATCATTGTGATCAGTTTGGGGGCGGAAAAAATAGACTTTTTCCCCCAATAAAGATGCAATTTACTAATTTAAAAATCAAAATTGTTCTGTGTGATTGAGTTAAGGCTAAATGATGATACTGACCAGGGTAAGCCCGGGAGGACGGAAAGACAGACAAGGGAATGGTCTTCCTAATGACGGCCCAGGCTTTATTCTGGGAGAGGCCTGCAGAGAGGGTGCTGCTGTGAGAATCAGGCTCCCTTTACAGCCTGGGGTAGTTCAGGGAGAAAAAAGGAGAATGCTTGATGAGGGGTGGGGGTCAGGGGTGGGGGAGGGGCTGGTCGCTAGGGATAGCTAGGGAATAAGGTGAAAGGTGAGTTAAGAAATGTCAGGTGAGCCATCAACATCTGCCAGGAGGGGTGGGGGTTTCTTGGAGCAGGGAGGGCAAGAATCTAGAGAAGTTAGTTACTTTAGCTCTGGAAACCAAATGACTTCAGTTTCAGGAATTGCCACCGTTTAATCCAAATGGGGGAGCATGGCACAGCGGTATGGTCTTGGCTAACACCGGGTGACAGATTTTTCAAAACAATTCCAGTTTCCAAAACTCCACTGTACTGTCTTACCATGAGTCTAACAGTCTAACTTTTTGTTGTTGTTGTTTGTTTTTGTTTTTCGAGACAGGTGCCTGTCCTGGATCTCACTCTATAGACCAGGCTGGCCTCGAACTCACAGAGACCCAGCTGGCTCTGCCTGGCGAGTGCTGGGATTAAAGACATGCGCCACCCTCCACCCCCACCCCACCCCCAGTCTAACTTAATTAAGAAAATATGATCAAGAACTTATAAATACCTGGTGGGTGATGGAAGGATCAAAGAATAGAGTCTCTATTTTGTATGATGTTGCGTTTGAAGTGTGAACTTTTTGTGCCTGTTCCTCAGGTCAGTTCCCAGTGTCCTTAGGGACAAGTGTTTGTTGAGGTCCTTGAACAAGAGCAACCCGGAAGTCATGCACCTCTTCCTTGCTGGTCTCTAGACCTTCTTTCTGTGTCCTCTTCACTGTGTCTAAGACGTGGGATATCCAGTATCTCAGCTGCTAAAGCCCAGGATAGTGTCAGGCTCTCTACCTGAAGGACCTAGCTATCAGATGGAGAATAGGGACTCGGGATGGGTAGGTGGTTGGGTACAGGGAGTGAATGAAAAAAGCTAGTTGGCAGGGGGAGACTAGAAGCCCTTCCTCATCTGGGCTACAAGCATCAAACTGAGCATGCTCAAGAAAAGGCCTGTTACACCAAGATAGGAAAGGCCTTGCCATGTAAACCACCTATAAATGATCATGAGCCTTCAGGCCCACGGTTTCTTGGAGGACAGGCTTTTCCCAGCTCATTGACCCGCTCCATTCTCCGCAGTGCTTTCCTATTCTTAAAAAAGGGGTCTCCATTTCTATTTCTATTTCTAACCACGTGTCTCTGGTCCAATTCTTTGCCCTGGGACTCAAAAGTCTGGAACCTTCAGCAGGTGCCCTGGGACTCAGATCCACACCTGTAACATCAATGGCTGGCACCTGCTACGATGGGCTTCCTCTTTGCTTCTTCCCAAATCTTCCTTGATTATACGACGGGAAGGGACTTTGTAAAGAGAAGGACACCAAGAATGAGGCAGCCAGTGAGTACTGATGCTGCCTGACTTCCTCATACCCACCACATGCCCCAGGCCACTGACCACAGCCCCACGTAGCATCTAGGGCTCTTGCCCACCGCCCCTGATCCGCAGCTTCCCAGGCAGCTCCCCCATCTCTGAGTGCTACCAGCACCTGGGTGATTTGTTGAACATTATTCTTATAAAGTTGCTGCCTCCCCTCCAGCCGCATCAGCATGCCTCCCTCTTCTCCAGAGAGCCAAGAGAAACTATTAAAAATGTGTTTGAAATTACACATTCCCCCACTCTCCTTGACAGAAGAGCTTTGCAAAGCTCGTTAAGAGAGCTGGAGAAAATTCCTCTGCACATTTCTGGGCTTATGGTTATTATTCTGCATGTGTTGCCCAGCTAATAGAATGTGACGCTGGACATCATGATCCAAGAGAAAATGGCTGCCTCAGTCGTGGCTTTAATTCTAGAACAGCAGACGTGGCTACCATTTTGGCCAGTTGCAGAAGAGATGAGAGCCAAGGGGACAGAGACAAAGAGGGAAGGAATACGTTCAGCAGGCTTTGGAATGTGACCCCTTTCTCCTCCCTCTGCTCGTCCTCCCCTCTCTCTGCTCTCCCTCTCAGAGGCTGGATGGCTGGACTCAGCTTATTACAGCTTCTCTCCAACTCCGTAAAACTGAGCTCCACCAGAGCTGGACTGTGTGGCTTGTAAATAATCTCCTACAGGAGCCTCCCTAAGTGGAAGCAGCCTGTTCTGTTCAGTTTTCTCCCCTGATTACCATCGGGGACCTCCAGACAGCTCAATCCCTTGCATAATCCCCAGGCAAGCGCAGCCTCTGCTTTGCCTCTCTTAGAAGGAATGCCACACTTGACCATCTCCCTGGCTCCTGGGCTAACACAACCCTGTGAGAAAACAGCCTGGCTCTGGACAGGAACCGTCAGGGAAAACTCCAGGGCATGGATTTGCATCTTCTCCAGCAGATTTGAACGCCTGGAGAGCATATTTCTGAGCAGACCCATTAGAAGTGAGGTTATCCGCCCTCACGGAAACACACCTTTCACTATAAAAACAAGGAACTCCAGTGACATTTCTGTGACACAAAATCCAAAGCAACACCATATGACCTTGGGCCATGTAAATAAGTTTAACAAGGAAAAGCTAAAACATCCTGAGACCTTCTAACAAGAAGCACACACTGAGAACCCTAGCACATGGGAGACCATCAGTGGAAACTTTAAAATTTATTTAAAAATCCTGATTTACAGGACGTTATAAATTTCTGCATCAGAGAGTGGAGGACTAACCCCAGCACTGTGACTGTGACCTCATCTTGATTTGAGATATCATTGCCAAATGAGCTGGCTTCCTTAGAAAGGATGGGCTGTCTTCTCACAGAGAACTCTGGTTCTCTTAGACTAAAGAAACCAGAAGAAAAAGAAAATATGCAAATATTTCTCTTGGTAACATAAATACTGAGTTCTTTATGGGACATTATATACTGTACTAAATGTTAAGCACACAGGTCAAGGGTTAAAGAGAAATTTCCAGAAAAGGATTCCAAACCTCTGTCTGCCCTTCTGAAAGGACCATTTCTACAACACTCTTGTTTTTCTTTCCATTTCAATGTTTCTCAAAAGCAAGAACCAAATTTGATTCACAAGACATCCTTGGCAAGAATTTCCCTCCTAGAAGATTTTCACTCCCTGAGTTTTAAGCACACTCACCTACACAGTGCAAGCCTTTTGGCTCTGTCAATTATTGCCTATAAGACTTTGACCTTTATATATCAAAATTTGTGGTTTTCGGGTTAATGTCAACTTTTTTTTTTTTCAAGTTATCTTGAGACCCTAGAATTTAAACACTGGAGGAGTGAGGATCAATCCTGTAACCTCACAGCCTCCGAGGCTCCATCTGACTGGACCACACACCCTAAGACTTGTCTTCCAGGCACCAAAACAGTCTGTGGATGGACGTTTGCCCTTTTGCCTCCTCCACTGGCTTGCAAATGACATAAACATAGGTGGGTGTCAGCTTAGGTGAGGGTCAACTTCTGCTCACTATCATTTCCAGCCCCAGTGCAGTGTCTGGCTCGTCCATTCAACCATCCATGCATGCATCCTTCCATTCATGTTCTCCATGTTAAGGTTTGTCTTAGTTTCTTCTCCTGTTGCTGTGATAAAATAATCTTTTAAAAGCAAAATAAAGGAAAAAGGGTGTGCTTTTCCCACAGTTAAAAGGTGGAGTCCATCCTGGGGTGGGAGTGGGGGGGGGCAAGGCAGCAGGACCTTGAAGCAGCTGGTCATATCACATCCACAATGCATCTCCTGGGCAGCTCCCTTTCTCTATATATACAGCCCAGGATCCCACCCAGGGAATGGTACTGCCCACAGTGGTCATGTCCTTCCACCTCAATCGGTATAATCAAGATAATTCTCTTCAGGCATACCTGGGGACCCATCTCCCAGATGATCCTCAGTTCCGTCAAGCTGACAATGTCAATGAACAGTCGCAAGGTCTGGGTAGGAAATGCTTGTGTGGTGATGTCTTGGTCCCCAGCTGCTGATGCTATTTTGGGAGTTTGGGACTTGAGGAAATGAGAGCTGACTGGGAAACTAGTCATGAGCACTTGTTCTTGGAGGATATGCCTTGTCGCTTGCTTTTGCCTCACTCTACTTCCGGGATGAGAAGTTTGCCCACACACTATGGTCATCACCATACTCCACCTCAACAGCAACAGAGTCGGCCAGTTATGGAACACAGCCTCTACAACCTTTAGCTGTTTCTCTTGTCTCTGTGAAGTACTAACACAGCCATGCCGCTCATGTGGCGGGTGCTCCCCACCAGAGCACAGAGCAGGTGCTCCTCATCAGAGCCACCAAAGAAGGCACAAAGGGCTCTTTCTGCTCTCCTGCTATTTAAATTCCAGGTGCGGGAAGGGGCTTGGGGGAAGAAATTTCCTATCAACAATTAAATGAGCTAGACAACTTTAGACACTGCTGAGTTCTGTGAAGAACGTGAAACGGGTGGTATGTTTCTGAGTACAACCCTGGCATGGGAGAGTTGATGGGAAATGATAGGAGGGTGTTTTTAGAGAGGTCCCCCTGAAGAGAGATGTATGATAGGGGAAGGAGTAGCCACCTGATGCTCAAGCTCCAGAAGCAAGAGACCAACAGTGAGACACTAGAGGCAAGGAACACCCGATGAGGAACAAGTGAGCTTGTCGATGAGGGAAGCTCGCTGGGTCACGGGCTGAGGCATTGGAGAAGGCTGGGAAGAATGGCAGGCAGATCATGGTGGTCATGCAGGCCATGGTCACGCCTGGGCTTTCCTCCTGGATCATGGGACATCACCAGAGATGATGAAGCACCCAGAACAGTGGGATGACTTAACTAGCATCCAAAAGGGGACATTTGATGCTGGGCGGTGGTGGCACACACCTTTAATCCCAGC